CCCAAGCCACCCGGTTTGGATCCCCACCAGATGCAGAAGCCGGCACCTGCTTTTCGTAAGTACACTACCCCAGCCATTGTGGTGATAAGAAAAATATGTTAAAACAGCATTTCTGGCCCATTGCGTCGCCCCAAAACTCCTCCCCATCCTCCAACACGCAAGTGCGGAGGAGAGGTGCAATAGGAAGGGTGTGGTCATCGCCCCTGAGCTTGCGCATGTCAGCATATCGGCGCGAAAGTTGACATGAAGCGAAGGAGAACATCGCCCCCCTCAGAGCCTTTCGGCGGCTTGTCGACCCGCATCGCACCGTTGAGCACCATTCTGCCTTCCAGATCGGTAAACACTTCTCCCGGGGGAACTTCGGCGAATATTCCCCGTGCCGCACCTTCCTTAACGGTTTTGTGCCATTCGCGGTCTGATTCGTATACCCTTGATTTCGGTGGCTCTGGCGGCCACTGGTCTGCGGGCAGCAAGCGCCGGCTGGGGGCCAAGACGTCGTCGAGCAACTCGCCGTCGAGAAAACGCGTCACGGGGGCCGCCGCTGCCTCACCCGCCTGTGGCCACGCAGGGATCACGCGGGCAGCCACCAGCTGTCTGCGCACGGCTAGCGCGTTGCCCGCGTAGTCGACCCGTCTGGCCCGGAGCTCGCGTTCCACGGCCGCGACGCCAGGCGCCGCTGCGCCGTGCGTCAGAAACTCGGCCGCCGCCTCCCAGAGATGGGTGACAGACCTGCGCTGGGCCTTGCTCAGCTCAGGCGCGGGCGCCCCAGGCACTGTTCCCGCTCCAGCGGGGAGCCAGGCCGCCCGCGCAAAGAAATTGAGCGCAATCGACATGCACCCGACCGCGGCCCGGCACTCTGACGCAAGCCGCGGGTCGTGGCCCGCGATTTCCGACATTTCCTCGGAAGCCCGCCGTGCTGCCGCAGGCGAGATAGGGAAGAGGTCGTTGCGTGGCGGAGTGCCAGAGGTGGAGCCGAGGGAGAAGAAACGGCCCAGAGGCGTAAGTAATGCAACAATACCGTCCTCGAACAACTCCCACACTTGGTTTGTTGACTGTAACGCGCTCAGTTCATCCAGCCATATGTTTTGCCATTGCGACATATCCAGACTGTTCGCATTCTTCTGTTTGTACCCTGTGCATCCGCGTGCATGCACGTGCAAAGGAACTAATTCCACGCCCGCGGCTGCTAGGGGCGCGCTCCGCGGCAAAATGCGGCGCGAAACTTCAGGGCCCGAGGTCGCTTTGGACCAGCCCTGCTCGGCATTTACCGCGGACTCGACATCCGCGGCCCCCTCGGAATCGACGTCCGAGGGCCCCCCGGAATCGCCCTCCGAGGGCTGCCCGGGCTCGACGCCCGAGCGCGGCCCACAGCCAAGCGGCGGTGCTCCCTGGAGCCCGCTCACCACTTGCCTGGCTTGCCTTTGCCTGTCCCCTTCTGCCTCGGGATGGTTGCCAACCCTTTCCCGTCGAGTGGGCTGCCGCCTGGCGCCAAGTCCTGCTGGCTCTTCCTGTAGCCCTTGGGGTGCTGGCTCTGCCACTGCTGGCGCTGGCCGAGCTGCTGCTCCGCGCGGGCCTCCGAGCGCATGAGGATGCGATCGGAGCGGCTGACCAGCGTCGTTTTGCTGTCGTCCTCCAGCAGCTCCAGCAGCTCCAAAAACTTCGCCCTGTCCCAGTTGTTGTCCGCGCAGGCCTGCTCGAGGGCCTTCAGGTGCTGGGCCACGGAGTCCATGGCCCGCCACGTCTTGCCCTTGGCCATGAGGTCCAGGAGGCGGCACATGAGGGCCATGTCCGCCAAGTTGCGTTTCCCGGAACTCTGGTGCTTCGGCGCCAGCACTCGCAAGTAGTAGGCGCTGGCGACAGCCGGTGCTGTCTCGGGTGGGGCGTCGGAGTTGGTGGCCGCCTCGGCCCCTGGCGTCACTTTGCTGGCCATTGTCTCTAACAGCTTGCACGCCAGCTTGCCCTGGTGACGGCGCGCGCAACACGTCAGCTTCTCTTGCGCCGGCGGGCGCGCCCGTGCCTCGCACGCTCCTGCGAGCGGCCGTTGCGCCTGGGGCTGCGGCTCCGCGCGCCGCGCCGCTCCGGAGCAGGCCTGCCGTCGGCCCCAAGGTCTGCCTGCGGCGCTGGGCCCCCAGGCGGGCCCCCTCCAGGGCCGCCTGGGCCCCCTCCGGGAGCTCGCCGGCGCGGGATTGGCTCCCTGCTCGTTGGCCTCTCCCGCTCCTGGCGGTCACCACGCACCCCGCCATGCCGCGGGATGGGGTCGCGGCTCCGGCCCCGACGCTGGGGAGGGCGATCGACACGCCCCTTGCCGTCCCCATTTTCGATCCTCGCCTTGAGGCCCGCCAGACCCCGGGACACCTCCTCTCCGTCGTCGTCGTCGTCGGCTCCGCCGTCCTCGGCTCTGCCGCTTCCCCACAACGCGCCGTCTGGGGCACCCCCCGCAGCCGGTTCCCCGTGCCGGGTCCCAGCCGTGCGGCCAATTACTGGCCCTGCTTTCGCTCCAAACTCGCGCCCGGAAGCGTCCCGAGGGTCTTCCGGAGGTGCGGCTTTGCCGAAACCCTTCAAGATCTTGGCATGGAGGCCTGGCTTCGCTGCCCACGCAAGCCGACCAATCTCGATATCATTCTTGCTGACGGGCCGCCATGCGTCTATATGGATTCTCCCATGCTGTCCGGCACGCTATGCCCGGCGCCGGCACGCACCATCTCCTTCTTGGCAAACGTGGTAGGACCCTGTGACCGGCCACCCACCACTGCGCATCCAAAAAGCATAATAATCGTCTGAGGCCGCTATGTACTTGCCTCTTATGTCCAACCCTCCCGCCTGGGAGTGATCGGCGTGCGTGACCTCTATCAAGTAGGAGCCTTGCACCTTCCCCTCGTCATCGTAGGCGCCTGCCTCGATGAACTTCGCATCGGTGATCTTGTTGAGGAGCGCCTCGTCCTCGAGGCTCCCCCTCTATGCCATGGGCCTGCCATGAGTTCGGGAAAAAACACTCGCGTGCCAAAACCTCCCCGAACCCCATGAGCCGACAGCGACGGACAGCATGCCATGCTGACGCTGCAATGCTGCATCTCCCCTCTTCTACCTCTCTTCCTGCGCGTCGGGCCCAAGTGTGAACAATCGGGGGAATCCCCTAGCCTTATATGTGCGTGCGTACGTACGTACGTATGTGTGTAGTTATGTATGTATGCCTGTATGTATGCATGTCTGTGTATTATGTAGGTGCGGATGTATGGATGTATGTGTGTATATGTTTATGCATACGTGTATGTCTATGTCTATGTACATGTATATGTATCTGGACATGTGTATGCCTATGTCTATGTATGTATGTACAAGTGTATGTACATGTATGTGTATATGTGCAGGTGTAGCTTTGTATGTATGTATGCATGGATGTATGTATGCATGCATGCATGCATGTATGTAGTAGTTATATGTATTAGTATGTACGTATGTTTTGATGTATGCATGCATGCATGCATACATGTATGTATGTATGTATGTATGTATGTATGTATGTATGTATGTATGTATGTATGTATGTATGTATGTATGTATGTATGTATGTAGGTCTGTAGGTAGATACGTATGTATGCATACATGCATGTATGTATGAATGAATGTATGTTTGGCCGTTTTCGGCCTCCTGCGGCCCTCGCAAGGCCCCGGGACTGCCAAGAGGCGGCCAATAATGAAAAGCTGGCCCTTGGGAAGGGGTCGGGACTTCCGGGAACCACCCCAGACTGACAATACTCAGGACGTCGCGCGTCTGGGGGGGCACTGAGACGCGGGGGGGGCGCGGTGTCCTCGGCGAGGGCACGCGCAGGCAGCAAAAAAGCAGCGGGTCGGGGGGACGAACGAATCATCAGATCCTGGCGTCGCATGTTTTCACACCAGGCATTCTCGCGCGGTTTCGGGCCCGGGGCTCATAGATCGATCCGGCTCAAAAACATGTACCAAAAGAATGCAGATTAGGGCTCTGGTCGTGATATCTAGCGGTGTTGATATTTTTGTTCGCACTGTCGGAGCTCAAGGGGTAGCAGAGGGTGGGGGGGCTAGCGAATAAGCTGACGTGGCTACTTTCTCCGGCGGCTCCCGGAGCCAGAGGCGCCGATGCTCGGGGACCCCCACAAACCGTACGGTGACGGACCGCATGGTGATCTCGAAATCCCCAAAGACCTCACCGCGCGGTCCGTCACCGAACGGCTTCGGGACCTTGGAGGCCCCAATCGCCCGAGACGCCCTCGGAGAACGACCCGAGCCCCAGAACCGTGCGGTGAACCCGAATCCCAACTGACTCACGACGCGGTTTGGTTGACTAACACCCCCGTTTGAGGTCCTCCGAAGCTGCTTGACAAGCTGCTTGCTTCGGGAGCGGCAAAGAAGGGGGTGTCCAAGAGGGGGGGGCGCAAATCATGACCGGCGGCATGTGCGCGGCCCAGCTGGGGGGCCTGGGACGTAATAAAACAAGAAGAGGCGCCACGAAATCTGGGGAAATATCATGACCCGCGCCATGATATCCACCCCCCCCTGGTCATCACCCCCCTCTTTTCCGCCCCCGATTGCTGCTGCTGCGGCCTGCGGCCCGCGCCGGAGTTGCGGAGGCCGACTGGCGCGGGCGGCGCTATTGTGCGCGGCTCGCCGCGCGCCCTGGCGCGCTCGGGGGAACGGTGGCCGAAGCCATCGCACGGTGTGGCCACCACGCGGTGTGGCCACCGCGCCGTGCAGGGGCCCCCGAAGCCGAGAGGGGGGCTCCGCGAGGGCGGGGGCGCCGGCGGGAGCCACTAAAACGACGCGAAGATCGGGACAAAATCGGATCGGCGTAACTCGAAATCTCTGAGAATCGGCGGGTTGGGAGGATGAATTGGGCGCCGCGGCCGCTCCAGAGCGTTCCGGAACGCTCTGAGAGCGCTCCGGAACGCTCTGGAGCGATTTATCCCGATCCTAGCCCTGTTTTAGCTCTGCGAGGGCGGGGGCGCCGGCGGGAGCCACGGGGCCTGGCGAGCCCAACGAGCTCGGCGAGGCCCGGCTGGCGTCGAAGGAGTCGACGCCGTCTCCCAGCATCAGCGGCAGGGTCTCGTGGTCCAGCTTGCTCGACGGCTCCTGCCGGGGGGGCGGGGGAGGGCCGAGGCCCTCCTCGCGTCGCGGACAGGAAGCAGCGCGGAGGTGCCTGTTCGCCGTTTTTGGGTCTCTGGGGGCCCTCACCAGGCCCCATGATAAGCGGTGGTCTCCAAACCAGGTGGTGAGACACCCGGTGGTGACCCCGATTCCCCAAACAAATAATTCTGGGTCACCACCGGGTTTGGGGGCACGCGGTCGCCACGAGGTGTTGCGTTTCCTGGGCCAGCCAGCGCTCGAAAACCATTACCCAAATCGCCCAAAACTCACCACCGGGTGTTCTCACCACCACGTTTGGATAACCAACCAACGACTCAAGATGGGAAGCCGGTGCCGGAGAAGCGGTCCAGACCTCTGGGGATTCACGCTGTAAAAGACCCAAACAAGACGTCAGAAATCTTGGGAGAGCGGGAGAGTAAGCTTCCGCTACGGGTTGGCAGCCGACGCGCCAGCCACGCCGAGCTCGACGGGGAGGGGGGCTTCAGGGAGGAGGAGCACAGCGCAGGGAGTAGCAGATCCGACAAAGAAAGGTCCTCCTACCCCCCTGGCTTACGCTCTCTCTCTCTCTCTCTCTCTCCTCCCTCCTCGGCCCCCGAGTTCTCTCCCTCCAGAAATTTAATGGTTCGCTGGGTACCTTCTGAAGGATACCTAATACCAAGATCGGTACAGAGTGTCACGTGGCGGTTAGTATCGCGAACAGGTCCGCCTCCTGACTGAAGACAAATCTCCGCATGGCGGCATCGTTCAGCGGATGCTGCATTTGCGAGCCCCAGGGGGGATCCCTCCCACGGGCTGAAAGACTACTGCTACGACAGCTGTGGGATCACCCCCCCGATTTTGCCAGAGGGCTGCGGGAAGGTAGCGGGGGAGTCTGACATCATCATGCCTTCCGCCGTCCCCCACCCTTGAAGGCTGAAAGGCCAGAGCCGTTTATGCTACGATGCTCTGGGTTGCTTGGTTATGATCTCGACCAAGTTGTCAAGTGAGGGCGCGGGGTCAGCAAAACGGCCTCCCAGCCCTGCCATGTTCGGTGGGGCTTCGGAGTGAAGACGAGGCCACTGGCTGCTCGACAAGACTTCCAAAGTTTTGCCGTTCCAGCCAACATTTGTCATTCACCCTCCTCCGCCTCGTCACGCTCCCCCTCGTCTTCCTCGCTGTCGTCGCCGTCGGCGTCTTTCGCCTCCTGCGACCCCTGTGCAAAGAGCAAGCGGCGACCATAATAGAGATGCACGTGCCGCGAATAAGGAAGGGCTGACCAGAATGAGCAATACGCAGCAAGGTCGAGCGCAGAACGGCACCGAGCCACGGTCTTGCACTTGCGGGACGAACACAGAAACTGCGGCTTTGCAGGCGGAGAGGGTAAGGCGAAATGACGAACCAGAGAAACGAGCCAGCAGACGATGGGCGATCCTCACCCTCGGTCTCCACCTCGACGTCTGCCCTACTCATTGTGCGCAACGATCGGGTCTTCGACTTTGGTTTCTTCCTGCGCTTGACGCAGAAGGAACACATGAACAAGAGGCACGTGACCTGGCGGGCAGGAGGATGCAATCAAAGAAAACATGCTCTTGTAAAATTTAAAGGTCAGCTAGCGTGGACCCCGAACAGTGCGTTCCTGACAATCTATGTTGTTCAACGCATGTTGTGCTACATCTGGAGCAATCAATGTGGTGCAACATGCGTGGTCCACTCTATGTGGTGCGATTGATTCTTACCCATGGGCTGACACATCCCATGCCGTTGCAAATATCCCACCCACCCACCCGCAACTTGGTTTGCAAAAGCCATGCGGGAACGATGGCGACGCATGCTTGGCGTTGGCTGGTGCATCTCTGCGGCCGCGCCAACCCTAGCAGGCGCGCGCAGCGGCCAGGTAGTTTGGCGCCACCGACGCGGCCGCGGTGGCGCTCACCGCTGGGCGCATTCCAGCGGGCACTGCATTGCGAGTCGGCGACTTGGGCGGGCGCGATGATGATAGAGGCGATGCCGGTGACGATGTTCGCACCGACGAAGGCGCGGCCAGTGCGGGCGCCGATGCTGATCACGCCGATGACGACGACGGCGTCCTCGCGTCGGATGCGCGCCCGACGCGCGAATGGCCCGCATGGTCTTTTTTGACACGGATCATGCCCCCCCATCGCGCGCGTAACGGCGTGCGAATGATGTCGGCATGCGGTGCCAGAGGCCCGTTTGGCAAAATCCAATGAAGATGTTGAAAACAAATGATTTTCTTAAGCATTCGCAAGAGCGCGCGCAAGCTTTCTTTGAAATGGATGCTGCGATCTTTTGTGTGTTTGATTATTCGTTTTGCCCGGTTTTGCCATCGCTGCGAAGCCGAAGGTTTTTGCTGGATTTCGGCATGCGCGCGCGACAACGCGTGCGTGTGCACTTCGTCTCTCTGCGTAGGATTCTCGCGACGGCACGCGCGTAAAAGGCGTTCGAACGATTTCGGCATGCGCGCGCGGAGCCCGTTTGGTAGCATGTTGTGCACATGTTTTGGACAAAGCAATGCTTAATTCACAACAATAAATCGCAAGTGCGCGCGCGCACGTTTTTTTTAACACCCGCGTTGCGAAACCATGTGTTGTTGTCTGTTTTTGGGGCACTCGATTTTGAAATCCTTACGAAACCCAGAATTAAGTTGAAAGATTCCGGCATGCGCGCGCGACGGCGCGCGCGTGCACCTCGTCCCGTTTTTTGCAAGGGATTCTTGACCGCTGATGATTTGTGATGAACGAGTGTCCGCGCATAGTTTTTTGCAGAGGGTGGCGGGGGGGGTCGATACTGGCCCCCCTGGGATGGTGCGTTTTCATATTTCGGATGGACGATGGGGCAGGATCATACGTAAATTGCAACATGAAAAAGGTGGACCGTTGAAGCCGGGGGGGGGGCCCAACTTTTTTAAAGGAGAATCTAAGTTGAGCAGTTCCCTTGCCGAACTTGGACTTGTCAATTCCACTGCTCGCGCACGATTCCCACCTATCCACCCGCAACTTGGTTTGCAAAAGCCATGCGGAAAAGATGGCGATGCATGCTTGGCGTTGGCTGGTGCATCTCTGCGGCCGCGCCAACCCTAGCAAGCGCGAGCAGCGTCCAGGTAGTTTGGCGGCACCGACGCGGCCGCGGTGGCGCTCACCGCTGGGCGCATTCCAGCGGGCACTGCACTGCGAGTCGGCGACTAAAGCGGGCGCGATGATGATAGTGGCGGTGCCGGTGACGATGTTCGCACCGACAATGCGCGGCCAGTGCGGGCGCCGATGCTGATCACGCCGATGACGACGACGGCGCCCTCGCGTCGGATGCGCGCGCGGCCGACGCGCGAATGGCCCGCATGGTCTTATTTGACACGGATCGTGCACCACCACCACGCGCGTAAGGGCGTGCGAATGATGTCGGCATGCGGCGCCAGAGGCCCGTTTGGCAGAATTCCATGAAGATGTTGAAAACGAATGGTTTTCTTAAGCATTCGCAGCATTCGCAAGAGCGCGCGCAAAATTTCTTTGAAATGGATGTTGCGATACCTAGTGTGTTTGATTATTTGTTTTGCCCAGTTTTGACATCGCTACGAAGCCGAAGGTTTTTGCTGGATTTCGGCATGCGCGCGCGACGACGCGTGCGTGTGCACTTCGTCTCTCTCTCTCTCTCTCTTTCTCTCTCTCTCTTTCTTTTGCGTAGGATTCTCGCGACGGCACGCGCGTAAAAGGCGTTCGAACAATTTCGGCATGCGCGCGCGGAGCCCGTTTGGTAGCATGATGTGCACATGTTTTGGACAAAGCAATGCTTAATTCACAACAATAAATCGCAAGTGCGCGCGCGCACGCTTTTTTTGAACACCCGCGTTGCGAAACCATCTGTTCTTGTTTGTTTTGGCACTCGATCTTGAAAAGGTGGCCGATGAAGCAGGGGGGGTCCTAACATTCTTTAAAAGGAGAACCTAGGTTGAGCAGTTCACTTGCCGAACTTGAAAATGTCAACTCCACTGCTCGCGCAAGAAGCCCACCCACGCACCCGCAACTTGGTTTGTTAAAGCCATGCGGAAACGTAGGCGATGCCTGCTTGGTGTTGGCTGGTGCATCTCTGCGGCCGCGCTAGCCCGCGCATGCTCACGCGCGCAGCGGTCAGCTACTTTGGCGCGACCGACGCGAACGCGGTGGCGCTGACCGCTGGGCACATCCCAGCGGGCACTTCAGTGCGAAAACGGCGACTTGGGTGGGCGCGGTATCATGGCAACGTCGACAACGGTAGACACGACGATAACAATAGCAATGCTGGTGACGATGCCCGCTGCGGCGACGGGGCAGCCAATGACGGCGCCGATGCTGATCACGCCGGCGACGATGACGGCGTCTTCGCGTCAGTGATTCAAATTTTGAAAGGAGTTCGAAATGCGCGCGCGGCAGACGCGCGAGAGTGGCACGCATGGTACTATTTGACACGGGCCGTGCCCTCCCAGCACGCGCGCAAGGGCATTCGAACGATTTCGACATGCGCACGCGCGAAACCCGTTTGGTGGCATGTTGTGAAAATGTTTGCTTTTCCATTTCAAAGAAATTACCGAGATCGCCCACGCAAACTTTTGTGGGAAATACGTGTTGTGAAAACCTGTGTCGTTATATGTTGTTTGGCACTCGATGTTGACATCCTCATGGAACCAAGGGTTGTTGAAGGATTTCGGCATGCGCGCGCGACGACGCTCGCGTGTGCACTTCGTGCATTTGTGTTGCAAGGTGTTCTTGAAAACTTGTGGTTTTTCACAAACGAGTGCGCGCGCATAGTTTTTCTGCAGAGGGTGGGTGGGGAGGGGGGGGGGCGCGATACCTTTTGGGCTGGGATGATATGAGCTCATATAAAGGATAAATGGTGGGGCAGAATCGTATGCAGATTTCAATGCGAACAAGGGTACCGATAATCTTGGGGGGGTAGAGAATCTTGGTGGTGCACTCTAGGTGGTGCTGCACAAGCTGTGCAATCCATGCTGTGCAACACGTGTTGATGTGCAATATATGTGGTGCCGTCTGTATGGTGCAGTCTACGTGGTACAAGTTATGTTGTGCAAATATGTAGTGCAACCGAAGTGGTGCAACCGATGTGGTACAGCTTATGTTCTAATCTGGGCGACGAGGCGGCGGCGGGGCGGCGACGGAGACGACGTAGCCGCCAGACCAGCACCCAGGCCCAGACGACGGGCGGCGAAGAGGCGGCGACGGGGCGGCGACGGCGACTACATAGTTAGCAGCCAGACCCACCCCCAGGCCCAGTTCCTTAGACGAGAAGTAAGGAGCCCTAAGAGCAAACACTGTTTGGGGAATGGTGATGATGTTGGTGTCTAGTAAATTGGTATGACATGGTGATTCAGAATGATGCTCGCGAGGCATCGGGCGAAAGATGCAAGCCTAAAAAAATAAGGAAATAATGGAAGTAGGACGTTGCAGGGAAGTGGAAGAGGCCAGGCCGGAACATACGAGAAAATTAATCTGGCCAACGACCCAACGATATGCAGCTGGGAATAACGCGAGTAGTGAATATCGTTTTCGATGGAGCTCCCGATCAGGTCACGAAACGTATGAGGGGAATGTCGACATTGGCGCGGCAGGCGCATTCGAACGCAGCCACTAGGGCCTTCGGTGGAGCTCCCTATGGGGCCACGAACGCGTGTGAAGGGTATGCCGACATTGGTGCGGCGTGCGCTTGTGAACGCAGCCACTGGGGCCTTCTGTGGAGCTTCTTATTGGACCACGAAGTGTGTGAGGGGTTTGCCGAAATGGGTGCGGCGGGAGCATGCGAACGCAGCCACTGGGGCCGTTGGTGGAGCTCACTATGAGGCCATGCAGCGTATGAGGGGTGTGCCGACATTGGCGCGGCGGGCGCATGCGAACGCAGCCACTGCCGCAAAACGTGTGAGGGGAATGACGAAATTGGCGCGGCGGATGCATGCGGACGCAACCACTGGGGCGGTGGAGCTCCTTGTGGGGCCACGGAACGCGTGACAGGTGTGCCGAAATGGGTGCGGCGGGCGCGTGCGAACGCAGCCACTGGGGCCTTCGGTGGAGCTCCCCATGGGGCCACGAAGCGTGGGAGGGATGTGCCAAAATGGGTGCGGCGGGCGCTGGCGAACGCAGCCACTGGGGCCTTCGGTGGAGCTCCCTTTGGGGCCACGAAGCGTGTGAGGGGTGTGCAAGAGAAGGTGCGGCGGGCGCATGTGGAAGCAACATCTGGGGCCTTCTGTGGAGCTTCTTATTGGACCACGAAGTGTGTGAGGGGTGTGCCGAAATGGGTGCGGCGGGAGCATGCGAACGCAGCCACTGGGGCCGTCGGTGGAGCTCCCTATGAGGCCATGCAGCGTGTGAGGGGTGTGCCGACATTGGCGCGGCGGGCGCATGCGAACGTAGCCACTGATACCTCTGGTGGAGCCACGAAGCGTGTGAGGGGTGTGCCGACATGGGTGCGGCGGGCGCTGGCGAACGCAGCCATTGGAGCCTTCGGTGGAAATCCCCATGTGGCCATGAAGCGTGAGAGGGGTGTGCCGAAATCGTTGACTGATGCGGAGGCAGAGGCAGGAGGAGGGAGGGAGGAAAGAAGGACATGAGGAGACGCGGGGCGCTGTTTCTTCAAAACGAGGACCCAACACCACAGGATGGTTGGGGGAAACAATTTAAAACAAATAAGACTGAACTTAACCCGACACAGCTGAGTAGATATTGTGAAAGCTGGACCGCCTAAACGAACAACGGCCAGGGCTGGAACGACAGCAAGGGCTGGCCGTGGTCATATTGTCCAACTTCTTTATGCTCTTGGGCACACATATTGTTATCACGAGACAAACCCGTGACAAATCCTCGAACGGGGAGTGGAAAACGGGGCAGGCGAGGAGGATACTTTTGGCCTATAACAACACAGCCTGATGACCAGTCGGAGTCGATGTCGAAACTGGGCGGCATGCTGCCAATGCTACTCTGGAGACCCTCGCACGCCCCAGCTTCTGCCAAGGCCGGGCGAGGAACATCAGGGAAAGCACATACCGATACCCAGGGGGCAAATACTCCGTGGAGGGCCAAGGAGGAGGAACAGTTATATGCCCTGGAGGCCTCGCGCGGCAAATTGAGACCCAATCCACGTCGGATGCACGTCGGATTTACGTCGGGTTCCCGTTAAGTACGCCGGACCTACTTCGGATTCAGGTCGGACTTACGTCAGGGCGTCGCCTCGCGAACGTCGACGATGTCCTTCGGAGCGTACGTGTAGACTCGATGGTGTGACTGTTGCGCAGCGCGCGAGGCCTCAAAAGACCTCCTCGTGCCGAAAGACTCGCGAGGAGGGCGAGGACGAGGATGGCAGCACCATTACCAAAGACGGGGGCAAAGGGGGCAGAAGGAAGGCGCAGAGCGCACCGAGCCGCACTCGAGCACGACGGGTAGCCACACGTGGCGCAACACAGACCGCGGAGGCCGTTGCTGCTGCACCCCACGGGCGCCGCCGCCTGGGCCAGCGCTGGGCGGGCTGCGCCGGGCTTGCCGCAGCCAGCGGCGCCTGGCAGCCGGCGCCCCTGGGCGCGAGCTGCTGCGGGGCGCAGGCAGCTCGCGACCGGCGCCGCCTTCGTCGCGGTCGCCGTGCTGGATGCGTGTGCGCTGCTGTCCTCTTTGCTCAACTCGCGTTCAGGCGCCAGCGACGAGCAGGTTAGCTCCGTTGCCCGATGTGCGAATCAACGCGTCGCCAGGCAGACCAGGCACCTCGCACGAGACGACCTGCGATGGGGCATACTCCTGCGATGCCAAGTGGCGGAAAAGCAGCGGCGGCGTATGCGCGTTTATTTTTTCCTAACAGGGGATAGGTTTGCCCCAAATCCCAGGCCTCGCGGAGCTTCACTCAAATGTGCCCAACGTATGAAAACAAAAACATAATAATAAAAACTCGGGAATATTTGAGCAGGGACCGACCGCCCCGGCATTCCTACAGTCCTACCACAACATATTCTGATAAACCCAAAATGTATTAAGAACAAAAACGATGTTCTAAGAACATAAACCCGGTGTGATAAAACAAGACAGACTCCGCTAGACATGTTCAAAGAACATTTCGTGGGAACCACACAAGGTTCTTAGAACATTGTTTGGTAGGGCTATAGGCGAGCCAGGACGCTTCGCCACTGCTTGAATAATATAAGACCGGGGGGGCGTCCGACCACGATGGGCGTGCACCCGATGAGCACCCCTGGGGGCGTGTCCCCGATTTTTCTTCCTTTTCCGAGCGGCTCAAATTGTCGTGGGAGAATCGGGGGTTCCTTCCGCTTTGTCCTCCGCTTCTGTTGCTGGCAGTTGGTTGGTTGATTGGCTGGCAGGCCCCTCGGCCCGCGGGGCTGGCCCGCGTGCTCGGGTAGCACCTGCGGCAAGTGCTGTGCTCTGCTCGCCACAGCGCCGGCTACCACGATTTTCCCTACGTACCACCCCCTCTGGGAGCGGCCACAGCGTTGCGAGTCGCTCCCCGGGTGGTCGCCCCGTAGGGACCAGGAAGGCCTGGTGCTCGAGCAACAGCGGCAGCCCGCCGTGTGCCAGGCCGCGCTCGCCGGCCCAGGCGGTGGCGAGCTGGACTTCTTCGGCAACGAGTACTTCGGGCCCAGAACCGCGGGTGCTCGACATCAGCGACGTGACGCTTGGCGTTGGACAGGTAGCGCGCAGCATCGATCTCCGAAAGGTACGCTGTAATTACATGTGAGGTGACCCCCCCCTTGAGAGCCCCTTCCCCGCACGTTATCCCCCCTGACTTCGGTGCACGCCATCCCCAAGGCGTGGGACAGCGTGCAATAACAGAGCCGGCAGTGCCACGTCGAACGCTCTCTTTCTAACGCCAACCGTCACTTCAAGAGCGGTCGCCGCAGAGTCTCAGAGGATTTTCCGTCGTTCCCGAAGCGGCCAGATGACTGGCAGGCCTTCGGAGGCACCAGCAGCTGGGCGGCTCAGGCGCAGTGGTGCATCCCTACCCACAGGCATCCAACGGCCCTGAGGAAGGCGACGCGGATTTGGCTGTTGCAGTTCGCGCTGTGCAAGCGGAACGTACACAGTACACAGGAAACGTCGGGGACGATGAAGAGAAAGGGGCCCCAGGACACACAAATAAATACACACAAATCAACAGATTCCCCATATTTTCCTATATTTTGGGGTCTTCGTCTTCGCCCCCACTTCCAATATTTTCCCATATTTTCTGGGGGATCGACGATTAATTGTGTCTGTGTGCTTTTTTCCCTCCTGAGAAGACTCCAACCAGGACATCAAGAGGGAGAACAAAACATGGACGAGGAGGACTTCTGCGAGCGCGACCTCCCAAGGGCCTCGCATTCGCGGATGGAGGCGGAAGGTGGTGGGAGCAGGAGCGCCAGTCTGAAGGGGCCCTGAGACACACACACACACAACAAAAAAAAAAATACACACAAATAAAAGGACCCCCCATATTTTTGCATATTTTCGGGGTGTTTGTCTTCCCCCCCACTTCCCGTATTTACCCATATTTTCCCGGGAGTGGACGATTAATTGTGTCTGTGTGTTTTTTCCCCTCCGAGGCGCTCAGCGAGGCTATCGGGTGAAACGCTTCGGGGACAGGGACTTTGGGTTCGCGGCTGGACCTCGTGGCACGCTGCTTGCTCATCGCGGAGATAGCCTTCATCTCATGGGTATTCCAGTAGGCACCGCCGGCGCATACCACAAAGTGTTCGACGCGGGCAACTGCAAGCACAAGGATACAACATACATCACGAACACTGAGCAGACTGCCGGCAAGACCATGGAGCAGAGTGCCGACATCGTAAGGCCGCGAAGACCAAAAGAAGAAGCCACCGACCTGCGCAGGCTCCTCGGGGAAGCCGGCCATCTCCCGGCGAGGCTCCAC